TGTGTATAAATATGTCTGTGTGTTTATATATATACATATATATATACACACAGACACATATGTGTGTGTGTGTATATAAAAAAATGTAAACAACAACAAAATCGGATTATTAATTTATGATTGTCAGTTATAGAGATGTACATTGTCTAAAAGTTTATGTGTTGAGTATTCTAGCTGATTGCTTCATTAAAAAAAAAAAAACTTTGTAACTCCAGGTCTTTAATAATCTGTGCAAACTTTGGGCTGTTTCCTTTTGGACAGAGTGTACTGCACATTTACAAGTTTGTTGTGCATGCACTGACTCATTATGACACACAAGTTTGTAGTACTGGATTCAGAGAAAGTCACGTTACACTCATATTACATAATTTACTACAATGACTATTAAAGTCCCACTGCATTCAAATTTAGTATTTATATTAATGTTGAACACTCTGACCGAGCAGCCACAAAACAAATGCCTGTATACTGTGTATTTGAAGGAGATTCTTTACATGCTTTGCTTCAGAACTCTCATTACATAATCCAAAGCTGCCTGGTCATAATAGTAGCAAGTAGTAAGTAGCAAATGTGGTGTGAAAAAAGTGTCACATTTTGAAACAAAAAACAAACGGACCACAAAATACTATGTTAGGCTAAAAGAAAAGTGCTATGGGAGTGCAGAGAGGAGCTAAATTTATGGGAAGGGTTTGTGTGGAGTGGGGCCTCTGATCCCACACCTGCAGAAGGCGTCCTGTTTGAAGTGCAGCCCGTTCGCCCATACAGATCACAGCACAGATGATTGATTACACATCTCAAGCTCCGCAGACACTGTGCCAGAGTGAGTGTCAGAAATAAAAGGAAAAAAAAAGGGAGAGAAATAGTGATAAAACATGTGATAACAGTGGACAAGAAAAGAAAATGACACTTCAGACTACGGTTTAGTCACAGTCACAGCTTTTACAGTAACTGAACATTCAAGCCAGGAACATTTCAAACCAGATCCCCTTCTCGTTCGTGTAGTGAACCAGATAACCTCAAATCTACCAGATGGACAGAGACTGTTATTTTCATTGATCTGAATAAGTCTGAACCATCTGATGAACTTTCTTTCTTGAATTAATCAAGCAGAAAAGACAATCCTCTATAATCATTACTGTCTTACAAATGTTTTGATAATCAAATTGTGTTAGTTCACTCAATGCTTTACAGGTTGAAAAGAACTACTAATTTTTATTTTACATAAACAGTAAATAATGATTTTTGTTCCTCATTCAGAGAAGAAATCACCTGAATATGCCTTTCTTGATTTTATGTCTGAAATGAGCAAGCTGTCGTAAGTATGTTAAAGGTTGGTTTTCGGTCAACTAAAATGTTTACCGAGAAAAATGTCATGTTTTACTATTTGAAAAGATTACAAAGTGTGAGACTCCACGAAGTCTGCTGTTGCTGAAATAATCTTTTCTGTATGTTGTAAACAATCCTTGACTTATGATAACATCTTACGTCACAAATCCACTCCTCTTTCTGGTCCTTCCACGAATCAGAAAGCTCTAAATTGAACAGGAAGTCGACCCAAATAAAATGTGGCAACTTCTCAGTTCATAGAGAAGAGAGAATAGAAGGAATAGAGAATTATGGATTCCAGAATTCCAAGAGAATGAGAGTTCTGAGAGATGTTGGAATGAGAGCTGACAACAGGTCCGATAGTCCAACAGAATGAGCAGATTGAGAGTGCAACCGGTTATGAAGAGTTCAGAGCAATGAAGAATCCAGAGGTTTTTTGGGGATTATAATTCTGTTTTGAGCTAATCAACGCACGACTTTCTGAAGGTTTGGTAGCTCTCGACGGAGACGCTGAAACGAGTCAGAAAGGAACTACATCCAACGCTGATTCATCGTCAACAGGTAGATGGTTCTATTTTGACCAAGTGTACCGTGAGAAGCTGAGATCGGACGGAGCGTGCAACTTCTGGTTAAACAGATTAAATTCCCTCACACATTTCCTCTGTAAGATAAATCTCAATTTAATCTTAAACTCTTCTCTCTCATAAATCTGTACAGATATTTTTAGAAATGTCTGAAGCAAAGTCCTCAAATCACCGCCGAGTGATTTGAAGTTCATTTTCTGTGAAACTGTCTGTTATTATTTTCATATTTTGCCAAATTAATGTAAATGTTTGATGTTAAACTTTGATTTTGAAAATAAATGATTCCATTCATTTGATGGGTCAAAGATAAATAACGTCTCTCGTTCACATTTCTGTTAAATTCAATGCACGGCATTTACAGTCAGAAAAATGAAGAACTCGTGAAAAGTATGCATAAATATATACACATATATTTGTCATACAACAAGTGACACGTACCTCACGTGTCTCACTACATTCGCAGAACTGCGAGTCACGACATTCCCTTGACTTTCTTCCGGGAAACTTTTTTTGACTGAACACTTCACAGTAGACTAGTACTTCATCTCAAGTTTAAAAACACACTGTTCATTGCAAACACTCAACTTGGGTGCAAACAATAAAGTACAGTTGCTGCTGACTCAGACGGGAGCGAATGAACCCAGTAACATCTGCAGGTTGAGCAGCTCTCATTGGATACCGTCCAAACATTTCGCAATGGTCCTCGCTGAATTTCATTCTCCACAGATGGCACATGCATCATCTGGAATGGTATAGAGATTGCGATGAGTAACAATATGTTCTGCTTGTGGTTTTTTCTTTTCTTTTTGAGATTTCAAACGTTAGTCACTCCATCCTTCGTCAACACATTCCCAATTGGATGGTAAAATGTTGAGCGGGTCTGCGTAGCAAATGAGTAATTAGATTGCCGTTTTCATTTATTGGTATGCATGATTCCACTCTGACTGTACATATTATCCCACAACATTGATTACTCTTCAAGTGAAAGTGTATTTAAATGTGTCTGTGTTTGTGAATATGAAGCAACAATATAAAGCTTAGTGGTTAGCTTTCCAAGACATGAAGAAATGTTAGTTTGGAAAGAAAAAAAAAAACCTTGAATGCTAAAGTCCAAACTTCAAAAAACTTAATCTAGAACCTCTGAGCATGGAACTACTGTTTACTATCACCACTGCCACACATTAATGTAATACTCATTACCGAGATTTGAGCCCGCTGGAATATAATGTACTGTTTGATATAGCCTATCACGTTTGTAGCAGGATTCTTCACAC